GTGATGCAGCCAAAGTCAGAGCACTGAAGTCCCACCATTTTTAGTGGAAACACTGGATAATGGAAACTGGGGGACCTGCACCGTAAACCTGTGCAGATTTATTCAGGTGTAAAAAAATGCTGAATTCAAAAGGCCTTAGTCCAAAGTAAGTATCTGTAAGACTGCAGCTTTAGACTTCCTTAATTTTACTTAAACCACACCTGTAGTACCATATGTTATTATGCTGAGTTGTATGCAGTCCTAGATACGGTATTACTGAAGGTATACGGTATACGGATTACTGAAGGTATATGGTATTACTGAAGGTATATGTCCTTTTTCCATGTAAATGCATATTTTTCACTCATTTCTTGGATAATTATTGCACCATGTTGCCCAATGCACGCATCTGAAAAGCAATTTTAGTTTTGTATATTATCTTTACAAATATATTCTTGTATATGACTTCTTGCCCATTTATTTTAATCGGAAAACTTTATTAAAGAAAAGTTTGATAAATACAAGAGGATAACTGAATTTTAATTCACACATAGGATTATAGTTGCCAACTTAAAAACAGGTCAAATGTATCTCCCATCCCTAATAAGAATATTTTCTGAATGTGTCTATCTACCCTATTCACTACTTTTTAAATTATTTAAAGCCCATTCCTTCATAAATATACATCTTTCCACTCTTTAAGACTCAGCGGTGAAAATCCTTCTTTCTTACTACTGGCACCCAAGTTTTTGGTTCAATGCTGCAATTATTGTTTGGCATTATTTGTGTCAGTGAGTTTTTGCTGGACTTCACATTGCAAACCTGCTGATTGAAAAGTAGCCTAACCCATGTTGATATTTTATTTTTACAAAAATGGCCAATACTGCCACAACAATAGACTTTGCCCTCCCCTAGGTAGCAATAGTGGCTTTCTACTGCCTCCCCAAGTCTAATATGAGCACTACAAAGCTCAAAGGAAAGGCAAACGAATTAAAAAAAAAATCCAGATACTACCTATATACTATGACCTATGCAAATGTAAGAAATAAATAAATGGGTAGCAAAAGTTACCCATTTACAGTTTGCATTAGCTTTTTTTTTAAACGAGATGAATGTAGAAGGAGGAATGAAATGGCTCGGCGCTAAAGCCACAAATTCCACATTTGGCCCAAACTCTGAAGTCTTAAAGCAAAGACTTGAAATTTTGATATTGTGCATTTCCATCCAACAAGCACTTTTCACCTCATCCATCTGGGGAAGAGTTCTGGAGAAGTAAAAAGGAAAAAAAAAGTATGATTTGATCTTTTGGTCAGGCTTCAGTACCTATGTATGATGAATTGTACCTGGCTCATATACCCAAGTCTTCAGTAACTGTTAAGAGCAACAGCAACAGAAACCATTTTTTCTGAAAGTCACATTCCTTGAGCATAATTAAGACCCACATTATAGGCAGAACTAGGACAGTGGCTAGGACAGCCAACATCTGGTGGGGAGACTTGTTCCCTGCCTCCTCCTTTTTTTGTTTCAGGTGTCCTCTTTTTCTTCCGAGCTGAGGTTGCATAGAAAGGATGGGTATCTCCTACCGGAAGTCTACTTTCTGAGAAGGACTTTTAAAATTAAGCCAAAGGCTTTGGGAGTTCAGTTGCGAGTTACATAGAATTAGGGATATCTCAGAAAAATGGCAGTTGCCGACACCTAATTCTAAACTGGCAGCCTGACCGTGTGATCACGAACCAGGCATCCGATAGATCAGAATACAAATTTAAACGTACCACAAGTGCGTGTGAATTAGGATGAACAAATATAACTCTCACCATCATGCCTTTTTCTGTTATTAGACTACATCTGTGAAAGTTTTCACTGGTTCAGGGGGCTTGTGCAGTGAGTCACAGCAAGATCTAAAGATTTCATTTTAGAAGGTTGGCAATGATCTAATACAGTGTTTCTCAACCTTGGCAACTTTCAGATGTGTGGACTTCAACTCCCAGAATTCCCAGCAAGGCTGGCTGGGGAATTCTGGGAGTTGAAGTCCACACATCTGAAAGTTGCCAAGGTTGAGAAACACTGACCTAATGGTGCTAGGAAAATAGAAAGTTTTATAAATCAATTCATTGGCTGAAGTTGCTCAGAATCATCAGCGCTGACTTAAGAAGGTAAGGAGAGCTCAAGTGATCAAGCCCAAAGTCTTCCTGGAAGTTCTCAGCAGGACAGAAGAGCTCCTTAATTTTAGACCTTGTAATCTGGAGATGGTGGGGGCTAAACACAGATCTTCTTGCATAGCGTGTCCCAGTCCTGAATGGCTGCCATTTCCCTAGCTATGGTCTCAAAGCTACGCAACTGGGAACACATTAATCAAGGCAAAAAGGAGAATGGCATTTTTTTAAAAAATGAGACATTGGGAATTGTCAAGGAAACTGGCATGATTATCTTATGCCTGCATTGGGCCTGAGATTTTGATTTCTCACCCTGGCATGATTAGCGCTTTAGCCTTTGAGTACAATTCTTTGTTCTCATCTTCCCTCCCTCCTGTTTCCATGCCACTGTCTCCTCCTTTCCTCTAATTTCATGGCGACAGGCATAGTGGGTTACATGGTTTGAAAAACAGGCTAAGAAATAATAGTTTCTTGTTAAGTAACCGTATTGCCAATACTGATTAAAAAAAATAGATAGTTGTAAAGGTTATACCTTAAAGCAAAAGGTGTAACATCAAGAAGCAAAGCAGAAAATGCAGCAGCTTTAATACGAAGGGTGAGCATATGCATGTGCTTACACAAAGAAGCCTCCTTACCTGTTTATCCTGCCCCAGTAGGCTTCCCCTGGTGAATGTATTGCCCTTTCTGTCAAAGCTGAACAAGTGCGTTTGTTCTGAGAAGTCACTGCCAACTTGTAAACCAGGCTTTACCAGTAAAGAGGCCCTTGTCAGTTAGTACCCCAAACCCACGGGGTACAAAACAGGACAGGCTGACTGCAGAATTCTGGAGAAAAGCAGAAAAACGTTCTCCCCCTTAAGGAAAGAATCCAGTTTGTCTGATCATTTTTTTTCACTTCCAGCCTCTGAAGAAGAGATTTGTACGAATATTTATTCAACTTTCTTCGGGGCACATCTTACCCATGTATTTATTACTTCTCCTACTTCTTAAGCTGAGATGGGTAAAGGTGATAACAAATAGAACTGCAAGGATTCTTGATTTTCTGGTGTTACAGAAAAGCAGCAACAAATACATTCTTGGTAGCTTTATCCTAAACCATTTTTTTGGGGGGGGGGGGTTAATTTAACGTAATTGATGCTTAAAAGCAGCCTATTTTTTAAATGAAAACCAATACTCAGGTTGCCAAGATACTATAAACAGATCCTTCCCAAATATCAAACACTGCTGTGTTGTGTTTTTTTCAAAGAGGAAATTGTGACCGACAACTTATACATGCACAGTTCAGCAGCAAGGGGACAATTCAGGCTGCTGGAGATGTCAAGGCAGATGACTGAAACAGCAGTTCTTGATGGGGATATGGGGTGTTTATGCAAGTCCTTTATTCATTTGTGAAGTGGTGGACGATAGGCACTTTCCCCACCCTTCTCCCCCACCCCCCCAAATCAGCCCAGTTGCCCACAACTGTTTTCATATCTCTGAAACAAAGCTCTTTTTACTGGGCTCACCTAGCCCTTAGGATTGTCACATCAACTTTCTATAGAAACAGTGGTGACATTGGCCTCCTGCTGGTCAATGTAACTCTCTACAGAAATGGGGTATAATCTTCTCCTCCTACCCCAGAATCACATTCTGCCAGAAAAATCATAAATTCAAGCACATGTTTATTTGTTTTGCACCATTCGGTTTCTCCCCTTTTAGGTTTTTTGTAAAAACATAAAACTTGGAAGGTTTATCGTTTATTCTACATCACGAAATGGGCAATGCAGCCCAGAGAAGCATAAAAACACATAAAAACTGGATGATGAACTGGGCAGTGCATTCATCTCCCACGTCCTGACCACTGCTCAGTCACCAGGGTAATATTTGAACATTTTACCATATACTCTTTGTTCTCTGGCACAAGGAAGGTTTTTTTTTCCTTTTGAAATAAAGGAAACTAAGAAAAAGAAGCAAAAGTTTTTGCTTGCAAGGAGAGGACCATCGCTTCTTTGCCACTGTGCCAGATTCCTGTCCTCTAATCATTATGTGGCAGCCAAAAATTCAGTAGGCACAAGTACCCCTAAAACAGGGATGGAAACATAGTACCCTCCATATAGTGCTGAACTACAATTCCCATCAGCGCTATTCAGTGAGGATGTTGGAAATAGAGGTTCAGGAAGGCCACTGCCTTAAGACACCATTCTTGGAAAAAATCATCCTGTTGAATTTCTGTCAGCCAGAAATTAAAGGCACAGATGCCCCTTAGAGGCTGCAGTGTCGTACCTGTACGATTACTCTTCTCCTACACCATGATTCTAGCAAAGTATTCTTCTCCCCCTCTCAATTTCTGCCTTCTTGACTTCAACCACATCTACCCAAGAATTCTTAAACCTCTCGTTTTTCTTCAAGCAGCTTCACAAGAAAACCCATGATAGTCAAAAGGAAGGTCTTTCTGCACAGCTCACCCCAACTGAAGTTACCCTGCTTTTCTTACATTTAACAGTTCTTAAGCATCTCCTCATTCTCTTAATCCAAGTCCCAATCAGCTGTTCAAAAGATTCTCCCTGACTTTTCCAATATTTTCCAGAGCAGCCTCTTCCAAAATCAAATGTAGACTCCTTAAGGCATGGTCAACAGAAATTGCTTCACCCAAGGAAACTGCTGGATGTATTAGCAGAAATGGCATTTACTGAAAAATCCCGAAAACACAAAATCATGGTCTGCTGGGTGTAGCAGTGAGACCCACATTATTTTCTTTTTTTTAAATCCATGCAATTGTGTCCGATTCCTGGACAAGTCCCTGCAGTTTCCTTGGCAAGGTTTTTCAGAAGTGGTTTGCCATTGCCTCCTTCCTAGGGCTGAGAGAAAGTGACAGGCCCAAGGTCACCCAGCCATCTTTGTGCCTAAGGCAGGATTAAGAACTCACAGTCTCCCGGTTTCTAGCCTGATGTCTTAACCACTACACCACACCGGTGTATCACATTCTACTTCTACTGATGCATTTATATCATGGACTGCCACACGCTGGGGTTGAAAATGAGAGATGGGCCCCATCAAACCCTGCTCATAAAACTAACTCCCAACTTGAATACTTGACTACTGAAGGAAGAACCTATATAGCTATAGTTATGATATAATTGGCTATGCTGGGAAGAGACTCTTCACCATTAGGTGCCACGTCCTTTATTCCATTCATCCCAGAAGAAGCCAAGCCTTTCAAAAGCAAGCAGAGATAAAGGGAAGCTGGGACCATTTCTTGGAGAGGAGAAGATGGATTCTGTCATCAGCTCCCAGAGTGGCAGTATAAACAGGAATGGAGTGCTCCCTTCTTCCCCACAACTCATGCAGCAGCCGGTGCAAGGGAGTGCAGTGGGGAGAAAGAGTTCTTTAGGCCAGGCATTTCTTGTGGGAGGCCAGGGATCACCTCGTGGTGCTCAGCCAGGGCCTGGCTTCATCTGCCTCTTGGGGCACAACCAACAGCAACTCGCAGGGACCCTGAGAAAGCACTTCCTGGAGAAATACCCTGCGGGGACAGAAAGGACATGTTAGGGATCCAGCAGAATCTCCTGCTAAGTGAGCCTCCAACCACCATTCTCACCATCCCAGCACTCTTCTCCAAGGACCTCAGCTTTCTCCAAGCTTTGTCCTAAACATTCATAGCATTCAAAAATCAGCAAAGATGTGGCTACCCAGAGCAGTCAGTCAACTTTGCTCCTTTTAGCAATTTTAATTTCCATATTTTGACATTCAGTTTTCACGCCATTACTCATGTACGATATAATATACTTGGGAGAAATCACTTTGAATTCACAGTATGGAAACAAAAAAAGGGCAAATACATTCTTGCAACTATACCTTTTAAAAATTTATTTATTTTATTGCTTTTGAAATAACAGAAAAAGAAACAAAAAGAAACCAAACATAAAAATAACTATAATGTAAATACGTACATTCTCAAAGAAAAAAACAACGCATAGAAAGTGCTAAAAAGTGAAAAAAATACAACAGAAAAAAGAAAAAAAGAATAATATATTGTTATAACAGTTAACAGTTGCTATTCTATATATACTTCTCTAATGTAAATATTATTCAAGTGCGTATATATTCATTTCAAATACACTTCTGTAACTATCATTCTTTTTAACCTACTGTATTTTGTATAAATGAGTTCCATAGTTCATTAGACTTGTCCTTGCAACTACACCTTGACCACCACCCTGTTGGTACCTGAGGTCAGCTTCACCACCAATTGGTGCCGGTGCCTTCAATTTGGAGTCAAGATTATAATAGATGCCATCAAGCTGACGCACAGCAATCCAGTGGCGACGCCTCACCGGAAGAGACAGGAAGCCCAGACACACATTGGAAGGGACGTTCACGATGAAGCCAACCAGCCCTGCCAGGGACAACTGCTCGAGGGGTCTATGACACAAAGAGAGACAGGAGCTTGGCAGAGCAACTAGATTAATCTGGCAGGAAGACGAAAAACAATTCTCAAATGGCCCAGAGAACAGGATGCTCTCACAACAAGGTTAAGCAACTCCCAACACAGTCAATCCATCAGCGAGGAAGTGCCAAGGAGAGCCATGGAAAAAAGAACCACTGGGTCATGCCTCAAAAGGCTACAGTGTGGTATGATGTGGCCTTGATTGCAGTCTGTCATTTTTAAATTACAAGCTGTCTTAAGCAATGAGGCATGAAGGTGAGGGAGGGATCAATAAAGATAGTTAGTAAGAGAAGGTGAGGGAGAACACAGAAAGAGAGAATGACAGAAGCTTGTTTAAAAAAATGAATGACAAATTTAGAGCTGGCTGATGTTTGCAAGGCAGCCTGTTTAGAGAAATGTAGCTAGAAAAAGTAAAGGGACAGGCTCCTCCCCTTACCTTCGTTTATCCCACCAAATGGCTTCCAGTCCCACACTTTGAAGAGCTGCCATGATGACGTTGACATCATAGTTCCCTGTCCCCAGAAAGCTGCGGTGTGGATTCCACCTAGCATCTGGAGCCAGCCTGTGGGGAAAAAGAGGGGACTCATCACAGGAGAAGGTTTGGACAGAGAGGAAAGACACCCCCCCACAAGCGTCAGGGGCACATTTGGAATACTGAGAGTATGTTAGGGGTGTGCTTACAAAATGGCTTCTATAGTAAACAGGGCTGATCCATTTGCCAGAAGTTTAACTAGGCAGGGTCTTTCTTTCCATCCCATGGAGGCAACCAAAATGCTCCCTATTACATTCCTAAGATTACTTTAGCTTTTTCTTTTTTTTTTGAACAGGCAGGCTCTTTTTCAAAGAAAGCACTGAGCTGCAATTACTTGTCATCTTTATTTTCTTAGGGTGCCTATGGGCACTTCTGAGACTCTAAGGGCCATTCTTGGAAATACAGTAGATGCTGGAGTTGACACATCAGAGCGTACTACCTTTTCCCAGGAAGAGTAGGGAATGCTCCCGAGTTGCCATGGACATCACACTGGAGACCCCAAAAATAAGACAAAGGGGAGGCCTCTGGGCCGAGTGCAAGTGATTCTCCCCTCTGATGTAAGGAACTGGCTCCTGGACCCCCTTTGTGATGCTCACTTTCTTTCTTCCTTTTCCATACACTTTTCTGCACAATCTGCAGCCTACACAACCTCGTGCCCTTGGGAGGACAACTGGGATGACAATTCCCAGAACTCCTCAGCCGACATTGCACTTGTCCCTTAGTGCAATTAAGCCCAAGAACCAACCACTGAATTAGGTGCACACGCTTCTGCCACTAAGCCTCACTTCCATCTTCCTTTGTGGCCTGCCTTATGTCATAAGTCAGATTGTAACCTCCTGGAGGGACAGACCTTTTTTTCTGCAGTTATAATGCACCATGCCCATTGACAGGATTATGCTATTATTTTTCTTTTCTTATCTTCAGCTTGTCCAAAATAAGATGTGTGGGTTTTTAAAGCATGCATTTCATGTATTAACTTTTTGTTTATTTCAGGCTGGCAAAATCTTATACTCCAGAGAGTTACTCCTGGAAATATATTGAGAATAAAGGATGTACACTTCTTTATATACAGCTGGTGCCTTGGCTTTTCCAGAGACTTATGGTACTCTAGGGAAGCCTCAGAGACTCCTACTTGCCCCAGAACAAGATTGTATAAATGAACAATAAATCAACAGACCCAGACTGCAGCAGATTCAGTATTTCAGAGGCCTACTTGTAGCTTACACCTGCTTCCACTGAAATATTGCTGAATCTAAGATATTATCTTAATTGTACTAAACAATGTGTCACAATTACCAATTGTTTTAAATGAATACATGAAACAATTCCCAGCCTCTCATGTGGAAGATGCTGGGATCTTCCATTTTATTTATCTAGGTAAAATCTTCCTTCCCTATCTGACTTGCTTTGCCCTGAGCACAATTTGTCAGTTTCAAAAAAAAAAAAAAAGGGTGGTGTCCCTTTCAGGGACCTGCAAATGCAAGCAAAAGAAAAGAGACATGGAACCTTTTTTGTTTCTTTGTTAAATAGCTTTTTTTTTAAAAAAAAGAGAAGCCACTTTATATCACTTGTCAAGCCCAATATCCACCCCATACCACCAGGAGCCCTGCAGAGTTTGCATTGAATAAGCAAGAAGGCCTGGAAGGGCATAAGGAGATTTGGCTCCAACCTCAGGAGTACTTTATGGGAATTCTCTAAGATGAAGCTTATGTATAATTCATTACATGCACAATTCCACATGGAACCTGGAGTTTATAGCCCTCATGATTCTCAAATGGAAAAAGAGCATGACACAGTTTCACTCCACCTCTCTCTTGTCAATCAGAGCGTTCCACAGAAACCAAAACAAATCACCATCCCCCTTCCTAAGGAAAAGTGATTACATGTTTTTCTGGAATTCTAAGACTGAATATAGAGAAAATATTTCAAACTCCATCTTTCTCAGTCCTTCTCTGCTTTCCTAAAAGGGTTCTAGGAGTACACAGAAGCCCAAGCAACCTTCAACAGTTCCCTCCACTGAATATCAGAGCTCCATTCATATTTGCAAATAAATTTTCAACTGTTAGATTTACATCATGAAAAGAGATAATGTATATACCAACTCACTGGCATAAATGTCACATAATTAATTTTACATTGAAGGTTTGAACCCTTGGGATTTTTTTCCCTCTGCGTTTTGATTCATTTATTTTAGTTCCTCTTTGGAACCATAAACAGATGCTTGTCAAAGGATGACTGTTTTTAAGGATGGTGTAAGAAAGTTAGAGCAATTGACTCTTGTGAAGATGCTCCCCAAAAGATCCTATTATGCAGATGAGCAGTCCCAGAGAGGCAAACTGCCCAAACCACCTACTTTTTACAGATTTCATCAGCCACCTCTTGAGTAAAGAATCGTTCCTGCAAGACGTTGTTGAGGGCGTGGACAGCACACAGTTCCAGGCGTTGTCTCTCATGATAAAGCGCAGATGTCTCAGTTTGGCCCGGGTTCCTAGACATGACATCAACACTGGCCTGAAAGGCCGTTCCCAGGAGATCAGCCCTGGAGGAAAAAACAAACAAACAGTAAGGCATGGAAGATGAACAGCAAGAAAGGCATGAAACAGTAAGAAGGCAGAAAGATCAGTACAATCCCATCAGTAGATGGCAAAGAGAGATTTGGCAGCTGCATTAGTCCAAGTGACTTCTTTACCTCTGACCCTTTTAGGCACCCGCAGGCCTTCCCTTTGTGTAGTTTGTCTCACAGTTCTCCTTGTCTTCAAAGATGCTTTCTCTCATTAGACAGACTTACAGCCCAATGCCTGCTCAAACTCTCTGCTTTTTTCTCCCCTGCCCCTTCTTTCTCCAGCTGCTATGCCTGCTAAGCTCTCTCTAGGCTCATAGCAGCTCATCCAATAGATTCTCCTGGCTGCTCCACCCTTGTCAGATGCTAGAGAAGCCCAGCCAATCGTTGGCCAATGCTTTAACTTTATATTCATTACTGGCAACACAAATGCCCCAAGTACATCACAATATAAAATGTTTCCCAGAAGCCCAAGCAAATTATGGGCATCTCTTAAGCCCACAGGACTGGAAAAGCAACAGGGAAAAAAATCAAAACTACTAAAAGAGCCAGAAGCCAAATGCTCCTTGAAGTTTAATCATTGAGTGATGAACGTGTACATTTAAAGCATCCTGTGGGAGAGGAGCAGGGAGAGGAACATGGTGCCCACCAAATAATGGGATACTATTGTCTGGGATTTAGGGGAGATGAAGTCCAAAATGAATGGACAGCATCAAATTGTTTTCCCTCGATCTACATAGGTCAGAATCAACACAGCAACTCTGTTGAGATGTACACGCAGATACCACTTCTTTCTGCTAGGAAATAATGTATTATAGTTATCCAAGGCAAAACAATATGAACATGAAGGCAAGCCAGCTTTCCCTAGCCGACTGCATTCCAGATGTGTTGGATTTCATTTTCTGAAAATTATGGGAGTCAAATCCAACAATCTGTTGGACACCAAGTTCGGGAAACCTGGCTATGGCATGGCATCACTATCCTTCCTTGGAAGAACATTAACTCAAAATCTTCTGAAGCATCTTATACAAAGGAAATGATTCTCCATAGCAGTCAAGAAACCGCAGTTAATATTTAAAGATCAGAAATGTTGTGGCATTGATCATCACATAAAAACTCCAGTTAGTACTGTACTGGCTAGGCTCCCAAGACAAGCAATGTTACAGCAGTAAAATAGTAGTACCTCATTTTATGATATAGGTGTATATGTTTTAAAAGGTACATTAAGTATTATAACATGCCAAGAAGACAGGTCCTGGACTTATTACAAGGTAACATACGGTACTCATCCCAAATTTCAAAATCTTAAGTCAAAATGAACTAGCTAAAGACAGACTAGAAAAGATACTCCCATAAATTTACTCCCATAAACTGATGCGAAGGATGCAAAGGTCCTTCTTACAACACAGCAGCATTCTGTGCATGCTCGAAGGTACTGCTCTTCGGGAGGGGTTAACACTGCACTGAGAATCATCCTCGGATGCAAACCTAACTTTCACACCCTGCTGACTTGTTTCAAATTTCTTCCACCAACGAGCGAAGCGGCGAGTCACCAACCTGAGCAACTCCCAATTACCAACATGAACCAGGATGCGGGGGGGTGGAATCTGGGAAAACACCGTCTCGAGAAAATCAACTTACCCGGGAAAAAGCGAAAGTCCAATAAACGAGCCCTCCCACCATGACTGCCCCAGGAACGGCTGTTAAAGGCCAGGCTGACTGTGCAGAGATAGGGAAACTACTGTTCCCAGCAAGCCTTGGGAGAGAGGCTAGAACTACAATTCCCGGTAGATCTCACGCGTGGGCCGGAAGAAGGTAGAAATCCACATTTCCCAGAATGCAACAAAAAGAGAGGCCTTCGCCACGACCTGTTTCCTTTGAAAGAGCGCGGGGGAGGGAGTGTATTGATCGTCAGCAAGCGGATAGGGAAGGAAGTTCGGCATCCTTTATGATTCCTATAAGATTACGGTTCCCAACCGGCGGATGAGAAACATTGCAACCGGAAAGCACGTGGATTTGCAATCTTGGTACAATATTTCGTTCAACGCACCCGGACTGTTGCTTTATAAAGGCGTCGGATTGCAACTCTTATAGTCCAACCCAGCTGTAAAAAATTTCAAAAGAGCAGTTCATTCCAAGACTTAAATTTACTTTTGATATTTTACGCCCGAACCTGATGCCCTTCATGGGCTGGATTGCAGTGCATCTTATCCTTAGTCTGAATGGGTATCGGGTGTCACCAGGTTGGGGAAAACAGGAAAAGATCTCGTGACTCTTATTTTATGTTATTATTTTATGTTATTACTTTGTTACTTTATTATATAATGACTCTAGGCAGCTCACCACAACTTTAAAGACCTTTAACAAACTTTTGTGTGTTACTGAGCACTTCCTGTAATGATGGGAAGGAAGGAGAAATGGAAAAGGAAACAATGAAAAGTTGGGGAGGACTGAAACAACTTGCATCCTTTTTAAAAAAGAATTTTTTATTTACTCCGCTTTCTATGGCACTCTGATCAGAAAAGACTGAGCAGCTTACATAGGAATCATAGGAACAAAAAAAAATAAGCAATTACTGTACCAAATGCAGAACACATACCCTTAATGAGGGATCTCCACTGACAGCAAAACTGCTCCCAGGGCTCTTCCAAAAGCCAGGTGCTGTAGTAGTAGTAGTAGTAGTAGTAGTAGTAGTAGTAGTAGTAATAACAATAACAATAATATGCCATCCAACTTTCACTCCCCCTCCCCAAAAAACAACTTGGAGGGAGGGGTGGTCTAATGCAATTCCAAGGGAGGAGGACTGTGACTGAGAACCTAGTCGCCACAGTCCATAAAGATGACCCGGAGGGAGGCAAGGAGAGCCTGTTCTCCTAGATCTTATTGGACAGGTAGAAACCAATGGAAGAAGGTGGTCTTGTAAATGCATAAGTCTTAACCCATGTAGGCTTTAAAGGTGACAACCAGCAGGTCAAATTGCACTTTGAAGGTAACGTGTAACCAATATAGCTCCTGAAGCAGAGGTGTTTATATGGGAATATCTGTTGAATTGCATCACTCAGGTTGCGAGATTCTGGACCTGTGGAGACTTCTGAGTAGTCTTCAAAGCCAACCCACGTAGTGCATTGCAATAGCCCAAAAGTGTGGCAGATGTGTAGCAAACTAGCATTGCAACCTTGTTTATGATATGATACATTTGTTGGATTTCTGCCTATAAATGACAGGCTCTGGTAAAAAAAAAAAAAGGCAACAGCTCTTAAGCCAAGAATAAGCAGTTTGCTGCCTATGAGTACAGGTGTGCTCAAGGACACCTTTCTTGAGGTCTGCATAGCTTCTGGCCCTATCTGATCTTATCATTTAATCTTTTAATTTAAAAAAGAAAGACAAATACATTGGAATGGTAAATGCTGCTAAATGGCAAGTTTTACAGTCATCTATATTTACAAGAATGCCTCTGGCATGGGCAAGCATTCTCACAAAATAAAAAATGAGGGTATAAATTGCAGTCCAATGCCTTGCTTGGAAATGTGTCTGCTTTCTTACCATGGAGGCAGAGAACACCCAGAGAAACTAGAGGAAGTCTCTGTGAGTTTTGGTAATATTTTTTTTATGCCACAGTGGCAGCCATTTTGTGAATAAATCAGCTTCCATCAGCCATTTTATGGGCGTTTATGACATGCTGACAAAATTCGAACTATGCCTGTCTTCCAAAAGAGATGCTAACTTTGCCTTAATTTCACACAGAGTTGTAAAATGCTGAAGAGGCACTCATTCTTTACAAGTTTCCCTAAATAGATAAAAATCTCCGTTGAGGTCTAGTGAGGTCTGAATATGTCCGGTGCAGTTTTCTTGGCAACGTCCTAGTAATGTTTTGTTCCCACTGCCTTCTGGGGTGTTTTTCTGTTTCCCAGTCTAGCCTAAAGCTTCTGAGCCCAGTCAAGGTCAGCACAGCAGCAGCACCTGCTAAGACCTTCACATTTTGAATTCTGGAATTTGTAATCTCAGCATAGTTGAAGGATGCTAAATTGGGGGAGCCTGTTTTGTAACACAAGGTAACATTGCTGCAATATGTATTTTGCGCAGAGGATATTGGGTAGCAATGAACAGACATCCTTTACAGTATTCCATTTGATGTTTGAAATAAGTTGATGTCTTGCAGCTTAATAAACCGCAAAGTGTTTTAATTTCTTCATAAAGCAGTGTTATTCTGAATAATAACATTTAATGACCATTATCACAATGTAATAGCTAGTTTAGGATATGTAAAGCTTTCAGAATTTTACCTATTAGGACCTTTGATTTGTCTTAATAAAGGTACTGCCCTAAAGACTGTGGAATTACTTAAGTTGGGTACTAATTAAGTCCTGTAGATTTCAGGCCACACCTAGGACTGATGGAACAAAGAAGCTCATAATGGCAGACTTCCTTATAAGAATTTTTTAATTGAGTAATAGCTTCAAGTTAAATACTAATGATGTCAAGTTAAAAAAAATGGAATCAAATGGAATTTAATAATGAATGATTCTTTTCAATTTAAACAGGAGAAATTGAGGAGAAAATATTAAGGAGGCTTGCATTGTAAGGACATAAGTATTTGGGAAAGCAGATCAGATTTTTGCTTCTCTCTTAACTGGCATTATGCATTCAGCCTTAACAGGAGACTGGCCAACTTTCTAGTGTTGCAGTAAGTATTCCCAAGTGCCACTTACAAGAGCCATTCCCCAATCTCTCCATCCAGGATGTCCTTTCTTAAATATGAGAGCTGCATTTGAGCCTTTGAAAAGTGCATCAGAGCCACACATCAAAAAGTAGTGGATAGGGTCAGGATAAGAATTAAATTTGAATTAATTTTCTTTACTACTTAATAGAACTATATTTAAATATAACTAACTGGATTACCTCTTAGTCATGAATTTTAGTCTTTCCTCCACTTGTCATGTTAAAAATGACAATTTGGAAACAACTTTTGGAGGCACTCATGGCTTTGGAAGGCCACATGGGGGCCCTTGGGCTTCAGGACTTTTAACTCTGCTCTATTCTAAAATGCTCAGGAATTACAAGAACAGCTCCCTCTGGTAAGCATAGTACAACCTGTTCTCAGATAAATATACTGTCAGGTCTTTAGTATCTGCCTAAAAGCAAAAATGATATTCCCAAGCACAATTGCCACCGTGCCTCTTTAGCAAGATTTATTGAGAAGAATGAGATGGGGTTGCAAGAATTCCAGCAACTGAACTTTGTCCCATTTGAACCAGTTTATCCCCATGCATATGATCGTGATTTTCTTTCTAGCAGCCTTCCTGTGATTCAGGGATGAGAAGGGTCTTTTCACTAAAACAGAAGTTTGCAGTGGGCTGTTTTTTTTTACAGTCTCCTAAACCTTTATCACTCTAGAAACTAACCATTACATGTATATATATTTGCAAGCTATTTTTGTGGACAGTGGAGGGAAGTCAGAAGGATGATAGATTGAAAACCAGCTTGGAAAGCAAAAGCCATCTTTAGGGCAGCCTTCCCCAATTTAGTATTCTCCACAGGTATTGGACTCCAGCCCCCATCAATGAACCCAATCAACTGCTGTGCTGAGCAGGAGTGATGGGAGATGTATTTCCAATACATCTGGAAGATACCATATTGGGAAACACTGGTTTTGAGGAAATGGACAAAGGCTTGCAAGTGGTGTTACCAGCTTCCCCCAATTTCAGTATTTTCCAGATGTCTGGACTTCCCCTCTCAAAATTCTCAGCAATCATCTGCTGGTTAGGGGGTTCTGCACATTTGCAGGGTGTCCAGATTGGAGAAGGTTGATTTGTTCTACTGACAAATTGAGACCAGCCAAGAAGATATATGGGTTGGGCTTGTTTTGCTTCTTTTAATGAGGTGCTGCTACTTTTCCTGGTCTTCCCACCCCATTGTAACGACCCTCCAGATATCTTCTGTGAATCCTCTTAGGAACAGATGTCATAAGATTCAGCACAGGTAGACTCGGCCTCCGTGCCCTTGGCATGCTATAGGAAAGAAAAGAGAACAGATCATTCAAGGCCTGGGTTACTGCTTCTATCCCCCAAACCCAATTCTTAGCAAACTCTCTTATAACATCCAGACTGTCTGAAGCAGAATTTTGCTTCAAAGCCTATGCAAAAATCATCAGGTTCCCTCAACCCCTCCCTCTTTGCTAGAAATAAAGAAATGGGGTCCTTTTGAAAAACAAAGCTGAACTCTTGAGAAAAGGAGTAAAAAGTTGCATGGGGAGAAGGGAAGAATCTCTTCAGCTTCTGATTTAAAAAACAAAAACACACAGAAGCAAGCACTTGTACTTTAGCTTCAGTGATCCTAAGGAATAGGTAAAACTAAAACATTTAGGCAGAAATATTCTTTAAGATTACTTTTTATTTTAACAATGTGAGGAGTTCAGTCTATTATCTCTGATGATTATTTTCTCTATATAAACTCAGTCCTTGTATATTTTTGCAAATAGGCACCTCTTTACATTGGAGTTGCTTCTAGTGGGGCAAAAAAGTATTTAGTCAGCCACCAATTGTGCAAGTTCTCCCACTTAAAAAGATGAGAGAGGCCTGTAATTTTCATCATAGGTATACCTCAACTAACGGATCAGTCCTGGTCCCTTTGCAGAAAAACAGCCCCAAAGCATGATGTTTCCACCCCCATGCTTCACAGTAGGTAATAGTTGAGGTATACCTATGATGAAAATTACAGGCCTCTCTCATCTTTTTAAGTGGGAGAACTTGCACAATTGGTGGCTG